GCAGCACTGACTGTTTCATCCACCGAGCCAAAGATGGATTTCTCTGGAAACCAAGAACTGCTTCTGGAACATAGATTTACAATTTCAGAGCAAAGCCCGACAAAACCATCATCTTCAGGGGGCTGTGTCCGATCACCAATTTCGATGGATGAATCACTGATACAGCAGCTAGAGCAGAAACTTCTAGAACGTGAAACCGAGCTGGTGGAGTTACAAACGAGCCTTGATGAGAAGGAGTCAGACACATGTCATTTATTTGAGGAGAAGCAACGGTACTGTGCTGAGGAGATGGAGGGGTTGAAACAACGCTGTTCTACAAAACTCCGTCAAGTAAGTTGCTTACAATATTCACAGGCTTGAAGGGAATGTGAATATATAAAGTTTAGTGTGACTCCAGAACCAATGAGTACTTTATCTTACATTGATGGTCAACTAAGTACACTATTCACCTTTATCCAGGCAGATCTTAATGATGGTTTGTGTAACCTGCAGGTGTCTCAGAGGGCTTTGAGAGCCCAACATTTATTGCAGCTTCAGGTGATACAACTTCAACAGGACAAGGAACGTCTACAGGAGGAGGTGGACCAGCTTAATCGTGACCGGGACACTGCAGAAAGTCATCTCCGAATCTATGAGAGCCAGAAAAACCTAGTACCCACTCTAGAAGAGACTCAGTGGGAGGTCAGTCTATAAAATGTTATCGTTGTGTAATGACAAATGTGGATACAATGAAAATCTAATGCGCTCTCTGTTTGATAAAGAGGTCCATTTAAAAGCTGAACAGTTGGGATAATAAGGGAAAAATATTAAAATTGTTACAAAAACACATTCACATCCATCATTTTTTGTTATATTTGTAGGTGTGCCAGAAGTCAGGTGAGATTTCTCTGCTAAAGCAGCAACTTAGGGACTCCCAGGCCGATGTTGGAAACAAACTCAGTGAGATTGTCGGTCTCAAATCCTCTCTGAAGGAGTCTAGATGCAAGCTGGAAGAACTGGAAAAGAAGATCAAGGAGTACGAGGAAGCACTTCACCAGCGGAGCGCTGAGGTTGAGGTCAGTATTAGATTAACTTACAGTTGCTATTGCATGCTGTACCATCACATTTGCCTGACTATGATATCTCTTTTTAAAAAAGGTATCTAAAAATGAGTTTCAAAGAAAGAAGAATGAAGCTGACCTCCTCAGGGAGAAGGTGAACATGCTGGAAACGGACATCAAGGGCATGAAGCAGGACTTAGCAATGACCAAAGAGGAGCAACAACAGCTAATGACCATGAGAGCCAAAGTTGAGGAGCAACAGCTGCAACTGCAGATAAGCCAAGCCCGGATGGAGGCCTTTGGGACTGGTCAAGCCAAATCGAAAGCCCAGGATGGAACAAGTGCCAGTAAAACACTGAATCATAATGGAGGGACTGCTGACTTGGATGCCCTACAGAAGGAGGTAGAGAGGCTGAGAGGGGAACTGAAGGAAGAGAAGCAAAAGAAACATAAGATGATGAATAGCTTCCAGCAGGAGAGACAAACGTGGAATAAAGAGAAAGACAAAGTAATCAGATACCAAAAGCAGTTGCAGTATAATTACCTACAGATGTACAGAAAGAACAAGGACCTGGAGAAGATTCTGAGGGAGCTAACGGCTGAGATGGACAGTCGGACAGAGATGGACATGGACAGCCATAACTCTGAACTGAACTTTGAAAAAATTGTAGCTACAGAGATATGAGGTCATAGGATGAATGTTTTCACAATTAACCGAATGGTCTTAAAAGGGTGAATGTACTAGTGGGTGGAATTCACAAAGCAAAATTTAAAGGGAAGAAACATGATGTCACAGGAGATTTTAAGATGTCATGAGATGCTCGAAACTCAAGAGTATAGCATCACTTGTACATACCACCAAAAGCTTTTCTCCTTTTAGATCTACCACTTAACTAAAAATCTTAGGACGTCATCCATGTGCATTTCTGAATAAGTTCCTATTAAATGTGCAGTAAGCTCTTTTGTTTATTATAATTACACTCTTACTTAAGATATCTCACTGAATTAGTGTTCCATCAGTAACCATCACATCTGTCTCTGTGGCAGCCGTAAATTCTGTAAACTCCAAATAATTGACTACGGTCAGATTCTTTGTTTAGCCATTTAAGCATTTTCTGCCTGTCAGTCATTTTGTGCATTCATAGGGCAGCCAGTGAATAGGAAGCAGGTGTCTTAAAAATGTGTGGCAGTTGAGACTTGAATAATTTAACTTAAACTATTAACCATATTAAGTTTCATAAGCAGTTGACAGTTGGTTCGTCATGCAAGGATACTATTTTGTTAGCATTTAGCTTTGCAACAATGAGATGTGCTACTGTTTTCCTGCTAATCTCTGAATACAATGGTAAGGGTTATAGAAAGTGTGTGCAAGTCTAATTTAGAGATTGTTTTTACAGAAGTTTCAGAATGGCTAACATTGCTTACAGCACCTTTAATCTGTGCACATCCAACCAAATGCTTACCTCCCTCTAATCCAAACAATCCAGCTCTTCTTGCCTAAACCTCAAGCAGTTGTACATTCTCACTACAGGGTGATAAAGTTATGTGAATGTTTTGTTTGCTGTAATTGCTAGTTTTGCACTCTCGCTTCCTTTTTATATGACAAGAATCTTTATCACCAGTGTCTTGGCAGACAGGCTCATAGAAACAATCTGTGTACAGGAATATAGTAGCTCATACAGTGAGATTATGTCATGTTGAATGCAAATGCTCTGTTCACAAATGTCCAGACACATATTTCATTGTTAATCTAAAGTATTTCACAATTCCTTCGCATCTTTTTAACAGTACTATACTATCAACTTTGAAGACTAGACATTGTACAGTTTTTGTTAGAAATGTAAAAGTACAGTCAAGTCACTTTCACTCGCAGACACATGTGTGGGACAACAAGAATGTTTCAAAAAAACATTTGTACTACAGGAATATATAATTTTGAAATGAAACTCACTCTTTTGAACCAAAATATGATTTTAACTCTATTTTATCTTTTCTTCTAAAAAAATTAATATCCTAGCTTTTGTTTTCCATTCAAGAAAAGTGGATGTTTTTCACTGCCAAACCACAAAAGTTGTTCACTCATATAGGCTATTCCTTGTGTGAAAACTCTCAAATCTCAGTTGTGTTTTGTTTGTGGCAGGATTGTTCATGTGACATGAGAGCCAATGCCGTTGGGCTTCATGAAGACAAACATTCCTCTAAGGATGACATTTTCTTCTAATTGAAAATAAGAATGATTGAGATTTGAGAGATTTGTAAGGGAAGATTATCATTGAATAAAGGCTTACATTTTGGTCTATTCTATAAGCAAAACAACTGTATGACTTGTAAAGACCTTGAACATAGCTCATGTGGACTACTTTTATGTTTTTGGGGAAAATAATACTTGGTTAGAACAATAAGAGTGAGTACATGTTGACAAAATGCTCATTTTTGGACCAGTTCTGGAATTGACTGAAGGAATTGCCATCCTGGGGGAAATATAGGTCTTAAAACTGACTGAACAACCATTTTACTCTCCAGTATGAGTATTGAATTTTAATTAGTTATCACTTCAAAATGCTATCTATAAAAAGATTTATCTAGCTCGAAGAAGCCTGATGGTACAACTGTATGTTATACAGAGATGAAACAAGTTTTTTTT